TGTGGGGGGGGGGGCTCTCCAGTGTGTCTCTTTTGAAGACACGCCCCCCAGATAACCTCACTCTTCTCAAAAATCTCCTGCCCAAAATTCTGTTTCCAATTACACTTTTTTCTGAGCCTGAATAGGACCTTGGTCCATTTGGGATATTAGTAATGGGCTTCCATCATCTTCCACCCACTGGAAATTCAGTTCCTTTATTTGTGCCCTTTCAAACAGCTCTAATCTGTGTTAGATGGTAAGGAAATGATAGGGACAAAGTTTCTGTATTGGTTTTTGAGATCCAAATGAGATGGATTTTTTCCCAAGCCTTACCTTCCAGGCACCAGGTTAGACAGAGTCTGCAATGCTAAAATGAGCAAGGCAGACAGGGTTCATAATTTTTGCTAAAAGAGACAGAAAACAAAAAAAGACACCATACCAAAGTGTATAAGTACTCTCAGAAACACAAAACATTCAAGATACTTTGACACCATGTATGATGGAAATCCTGTATAGTTTAGCATTGCTTCCTAGGACCTGAACAGACAGTAACAGGTAGACAGAAAGGTAGGGGGTGGCAAGTTTTCCAGATAATGGGAACAGCATATCCAACACCCTGAAAGTCAGAGAAAGCTTGGTTCGCACAAGGAAGAGGTTTTTCTCTTAGCTATGAAATTAGTACACTGAGCTTGTTTGTTTCCATGGCATCCCTCCCTCCCCATGCACACACTATATCATGACAACCTTGTTAGAGTTTGATTTTTTACATCTCAAGGGCCCTAATATGGGAATGGGAACTGGGGGGCTAGGGACCTGGTGTGGGATAGGGACTTTCATATGTACTTTTTTAAAAAAATTTTATTTTTGTTTAAAAAATTACAGATGTCCCTTTTTCTCCCCAATGATCCGTTCCACCCCATCCCATCCCCCTCCCCAGTCCCTCTCCCCACCATTCTCCGTGTCCTTGGGTTGTGCATATATGCACATAAATTATTTGGTTCTCTGAAAGTGTTATAGAATCAGAACTAAAATAATCAAATATGCAATTAATTCACATGGTAGCAAATCCAAAACATAAAATGTACATATAAATGGGGAAATATATATAGCATTTGTAATGCCATCATTTATTCACTGATGGCCATAGTCAACCATTTTTGCATGTTATTTTTATCTTTCTAAACTTTTGTCTATGCATGTACATGTACACACACACACATTCACACACACACACTTTTCTATTTTAAAAGCATCTTTTTTTTCATTTGGCCTTAGAGGATAAATATATTTTTATGTCAAGCACTATATGGCTCCATCATTTTTAATGTCTCCATGATATTCAGTTTCATGGGTATAGCATAATTCATTTAATTCTCACCTGAGGATATATTTTTTCTATTGCTTTTCAGAGATTGGAAGGGGGAGAGAGAGAGAAAGAGGGAAACAACAATGTGAGAGAGACTTTTATTGGTTGCCTCCCAGCAGATCGAGCCTGCAACCGAGGTGCATGTCCTTGGCCAGAATCGAACCCAGGGCCCTTCAGTCTGCAGGCTGACACTCTATCCACTGAGCCAAGCTGGCTAGGGCTATAGCATAATTCATTTAATCACTTCCCACTGCAAAAAACATTTCAGGTTGTTTTCTGGTTGTGTATGGTTACAGTCCTAATTCCAAAGAGCAAGGTACAGAACAGTGTGTGCAGTGTGCTACCACTTAGGTAAAAATGGATGAGGAACCTAATGATCAATATACTTAATTCACTTGGAGAGTTACTGAATTCTTTACTAAGAGAATGTTATAAACAGTTTTTTGTTTTTTTAAAAATATATCTTTATTGATTTCAGAGAGAGGAAAGGAGAGGGATAGAGAGATAAAAACATCAATGATGAGAGAAAGTCATTGATCGGCTGCCTCCTGCACGCCTCCAACTGGGGATCGAGCCTGCAACCCGGGCATGTGCCCTGACCGGGAATCGAACCCCGATAGCCTGGATCCTAGGTCGAGGCTCAACCGCTGAGCCACGCCCAGCCGGGCTATAAACAGTTTTTTAAATCCATAAAATTTCAAATTAACGGTCACTTATTCCCACATTAGTATACTATCGTAAAAAATAACCTATAAAGCCTGCTACACAGAGAAGCCTACCTCCCTCAAGCTTTCCACCTTCCTCTGCCTCCTGTCCCGGCCTGCCACCCAAAGAATTTTTAAAAACAGGTTTTTCAAAAACCTGTTCCTCCCTGTAACTTCATGTCCAGTGCCCTGTAACCTTCTGACTTCTCCTCATGAATAACCTGTCATCACTGGTCACCACCTTAGGAGTGGCAACCCTCTGTTGTGCAGACACTGTCTGGTGCCAAGGGCCTCAGTATTTTGTGGATACCAGGAAGTAGTGACATATTTTGAGGGCGGTAGAAATAATTTGGTCATCACAACTATTACACAACGAAGTCCACCTTCCCTTTACACCATGTCGCCCACCATCTACCTTGCACCACCCCTCTTTCCCCACACTTGCCTTAAGAATGAATTTAGGACCTATTTTCCCCAATAAGGCCCTTCCCAGTAACCTGACAAGGCCTTTTGTTTTCAGGAAGAACTTGCTACAATCATCTCCATTTCCCAGAGAGGCTCCAAGGGCTGCAGCCACTCTAGCATGCTTAGAGGGCTCTTTGTGATTTTAACCACTTCTCTCTCAGGGTTTCCATTTATTTTGAGGTTGTGGTCAAAGAATGTCAAAAGAGCAGTTGAATTTAGAAGTGAGCAATATCACATTGCATGGATTTGATGCACTGGGATATGGAAGGAGAGGGAAACAATGGCTAACAGGGGAAAGTATTGTGTTCCTACCATGTTTGTCTATATAAAACTGTCTTGCTGTTTCTTCTTTTCACAAATGAGGAAAAATAGTTTATTGCAGTGGACTAAGATCATCAATACTAGAACCAGACTAATGCTTGGATTCAAATTTCAGCACCACCATTTGCAGACTGTGTAAATTGACTATGGTCCTTCATTTCCTCATGTGTGATATTTTAAAATTAATAGTACCTATGTTAAAAGGTTGCTGTGGGGATTAATTCAGTCCATACATGTGAAGTACTTAAAACAGTGCTGGGATATCCCAAGTATTCAATAAGGGTGAGTATCAATATGTTCAGAGGTAATTGGTTTAAAATCAGTTTTCAGAGGGTTCAGACATCCCTGTTTGCTTAGCACAGTACCCTCTAGAATGGAAACAAACATTCCTAGTGTTAAATTTATGAGATTCTTTCACTATATGTAACATGTGTATACGTGTGTGTGTCTACCCAGGCTGCCTGGAATGAATGGACATTGTTAAATTTTTAAAATTATCTCTGTTTCTTACCTGAGCCTGTCCTGGAGCTACACATTTTGTCAATAACATTTCCATGCTCTATATAATATTTAGGAAAAAAGTAGTGCAAACTTGGACTCCAAGTTCGGTAAAGAAGAATGGACACTGGTAAACAGATCTATATTGTTTTTTACAAGTATATTTTATGCTTACTCCTTAATTCCATTTGTATGTTGCCTTTGGATACAAAAAATTATTTGTATAAACAGCAAGTTTTCATGATTCTGTTTAGCTGTAGCAATATTCCAGTGAAAGAGATAGAGATTAAGATTTTTTTTCTTTATCAATTTTTATTTTTAATTTATTTAATTAATTAATTTTAATCCTCACCTGAGGATATTTTTTCCATTGCTTTTAGAGAGAGTGGGAGAAAGAGAGAGAGAGACAAAGAGAGAGAAACATTGATGTGAGAGAGATACATTGATTGGTTGCCTCCCACGCACACCCTGACCGGGGCAGGGGATGGAGCCTGCAACCAAGGTACATGCCCTTGGCCAAAATCAAACCCCAGACCCTTCATTCAGAGGGCCTATGCTCTAACCACTGAACAAAACTGGTTAGGGCCCTTTATTGATTTTTAGGGAGAGAGGAAGGGAGAGGGAGAGAGAAAGAAAGAAATATCAATGACCAGGAATCAAACCAGCAACCCTTCAGTGCACAGGATGATGCCCAACTGAGCACACCGGCCAGGGCAAGAGATTAAGATTTTAAATTGCAATTTATCAAAAATAGTGATCAATAGCATTATTCTCAAAGACACTATTGTGGAGAGCAGGGGTGGGGAAGATGTTACAATGTTTAAAGTTGTTTTAAAAATTTAGCTCAAGGACTTAGATATTGGGAAAGAAGTCAGGATGTTCCCAAAGAGGAAAGAAAAAACAGGAATGGGGAGGAGCTGTGTGCTTTAGACTCATGTAAGGGAAGTTAAATATGCATTTTTAATTATTTAAAAATGAAAAATATTTTCATTATGCTGCTAATTCCCCCCCCCCCTTTTTTTTTGTATGCAACAGACCATTTTCCATTTCACAGCATGTAGGTAAATACGCAGTTTGGATGATAACAGCAATTCAGTTATGTTTGAATTGCTGAACTATAGATGTCTTTATTCCTAATATAGTCATTCAATACAATTTTTACTGAAAAAATACAGGCACCTCACAGGGCATAGAATCCTTGTAAATTATTCTTGATCAAAACTATAATGTTCTTCTGTGAAACCAACAAGATTGTGTTCTATCTTTCTGAATTTCCATTGGTTAAGATAGAGCACAAACAACAAAAGTAAAAGTTACTACAGGAGGAATGGGTACCTGACAGAGTTCAACAGACTTGTGAAATAGAGCTTCTTCTTCTGTTCTGCCCTTCAAATAGGGCTCATTCTTCAGAATGAGAGCAGCACCCCAGGAACAGCAGTTATCTGGGAAAGAAGAGGTGATGTTCTAACTGAAAGCCCTGGGCCACTCACAGCTAGAGAGAATTTTCATCCACAGAGTTCCCCTGTGCTGGCATAGGTGATTAAAACTTCAAGAGAAATTCTCTTTCTGGACAGAGGATTGGTTGAAAGGGCCCCTGGAAAGCAGAGAATTTGGGGAGGGCAATCTTGGAGAGAAGAGTGCATGAGGAGAGAATATCCTAATTATGTGAATGAAACCGTATGCATTTCAGGCCTATTGGTAAGTTGCACATGCACAGGGTAGACCCAAAGCAGCATGGTAAGATACCTTGAACTTCATAAACCACCAGTCAAGTCTCAGACTAAATCCTGAGACGTACATGTGTGGGGCAGTCAAAGCACATAGCAATTTCTTTTCAAAGTGAACCGAAAATGGAAAATCATTTAGTTTAAACCTAACCAGCTTGGTTTCTAGCTAAACCAACCAATCAAATTTAAAAAGTATTCTCCAGAAGATAACATCATAATATTTGAAATACAGTACAACTGCACACAAGAATACAATCCAAAATTATACTACATATCAAGAACCAAGAAAATTTGGAAACAAACAAAAAACCCACGAAGGGAAAACACAACACTTATCATCTCCAAGGTGACCCAGATATTGGAATAGTCAAAGATTTTAAGGAAGTCATCATACCCATGTTTCATTGGTATAAATGTGGCATAAGCCCAGCCATCGTGGCTCATGGTTGAGCATCGACCTATGACCCAGGACATTACAGTTTGATTTCCAGTCAGGGCACATGCCAGGGTTGCAGGCTCGATCCCCAGCAGGGGGCGTGCAGGAGGCAGCCGATCAATGACTCTCATCATTGATGTTCCTATCTCTCTCTCCCTCTCCCTCCCTCTCTCTGAAATCAATAAAGATATATATTTAAAAATAAATAAATAAAAGTGGCACGATGGTAAATGTTGTTGAAATGACAGAAAAGATTGATGTTCTAAGCACAGAAATGTAAATTATTTTTGTAAAGCCAAGTGGAAATTTTATAAATCAAAATTACAATATCAGACATTAAAAATGCACTAACTGGGATCAATAGAAGAATGAAAATGATAAAGACAGATTTAGTAACTTGAAATTAGAATAATAGACATTATCCAATCACATGAGCAAAGAGAAAAAAGACTGGAATAAATTGAGCAGTCTCAGAAATTGTGACCTTCATTGGATTCCCAAAAGGAGTTAAAAAAGATGTTGACACAGAACATGTATTTTGGGAAATAATTGCTGAAACTTCCTAAAATAGGTGAAAAACATCCATTTACAGATTCAGAAAGCTCAGGGAACCCAAAAGATTATAAACTCCAAGGAAATTATACCCAGAAATATCATAATCAAACCTCTAAAAATCAAAGATTATATAAAAAACCTTGAAAATGGCCAATAAAATGTAGCACAGTGCCTATAAGGGGATAATGATTCAAATAACAATGCAGTAGTCCTAGGAAACCATGGTGGACAGAATATAGCAACATTTTTAAAGTGCTGAGAGAAAGTAAGTCAACCCTGAATTCGACAACCTGCAAAAATATCCTACAAGAATGACAATGAAATAATGACATTCTCAGGTAAATGGAACAGTAATAGGGTTTGTTCTTGGAAGAACTAGTCTAAAATAAATGCTAAATAAAATTTTTCAGGCTAAAGGAAAAGGATAAGCATGGAAAACTTTGAGCATCAAAATGAAGAAAAATAAATAAAAATGGTAAATGTATGGATTATATAGTAGACTTTTTCTCTACTTAAGCTTTTCAAAATATGTTTGGCTATAGAAAGCAAAACTTATAACATTAACTGATGTGTATCATAGTATGTAGATGTAAGACATATGACAGCTACAAAAGGGAGGTGATTTTACTTGAAATGGTAAAACTTTAACTGAAGTAGATTTTTTTTTAACAATAAGGTATATATGTTTTAATCCCTAGAACAACCACTTGTCTCTCTAGGGAGAGAGAGACAGACAGAGAGAGACAGACAGACAGAAAAATATCAATGTGGGAGTAAAACATTTAATACAGGGAGACACTTAAAAATCAAAAGATAAATAAAAGTCCATACTAAAAATATTCTAACAATACAAAACAAGGAAGGAAATGTTGAAGAGAAAAACAGAAAAGAAGGAAAAACAACAACAAAAAGCATACAATAAAATAGTAGAGCTAAATCCAATGTATCGATAATTATATGAAATATAAATGTTCAGAACACATTAATTAAAAATAGATGTCAGATGAAGTAGAGAAAAAAAGGACTCAACTAATTGCCATTTACAAGAAACTATCTTTAAATATAATGACATGGACAGGTTAAAAGTAAAAGATGGAAAGTGAAATACCATCCAAAGTCTAATCAAAAGAAAGCTGGAGTAATTTTTCTTAAATCCTCACCCCAGGATATATTTTTACTGATTTTTAGAGAGAAAGGGAGATAGAAACAGACAGAGAGAGAGACAGACAGACAGACAGAGAAATATCAATGTGGGAGAAACATCAATCGGTTGCCTCCTATATGCTCCCTGACTGGGGATGGAACCCACAACATTTTGGTGTACAGGATGATGCTCCAACCAACTCAGCCACCCCGCCAGGGCTAGAGTAGTTTTAATAATATGAGACAAAGCAAATTTCAGAACAGGAAAAAGTATCAGACATAGTTAAGAATATTAATTAATGATAAAAGGATGTAATCACTAAGAAGGATCAGCAATCTAAATATGTGTGCACCTGATAACAAAACTTCAAGGTACATAAAGCAAAATCTGGTAGAACATGAAGCAGAAATAGATGCATCCATAATACTTTCAGAATCAGTACTCTTCTCTTAGTCGTCTATAGAACACGTGGTCAGAAAATCAGCAAAGCTTAAAAGACCCAAACAACATAATTTACTACCTTGACCTAGTTGATATTTATAGAATGTCCCACCTAATAACAGTAGAATTAACTATCTTTTTAGGTGCATATTGAACATTAAGGAAAACAGGCATTCATCTGAGCCATAAAAGAAAAAACTGAACAAATAATATAACAGAAAGAATATAATATATATTCAACCATAACATAATTAAATCAGATTTTAATAACAGGAAATATTTAAGAAAATCTCTAAATATGTTAAAATAAAACCACCCACTTATAAATGATGCATGATTCAAAGAGGAAGTTTTGACACAAATTTTAAAATATTTGGAACTGAATATAAATGAAAATATAACATTTTGAAGTTTGTGGGATATGCAAGATGGAGTAGCCCCATTGCTTTAAGCTCGTCCTTACAACTAAAATTTTCTAGGCATAACGCTACAAGCATGAAAACACCTGAAATGGGAAAAGAAGTCAGACTTCCTAGGGACCTTGAAACTTAAGGAATAAGATGAGTTTCCTTATTGCTTCCATTATATTCCAAATAGAGTCCTGCAGAAGCCTCCAACCCACAACCACCAACAGGCATAGACAAAAAGCTCCAAGAAAATCTGTTCCTCTTAGCCAAAGGACTGGAAAAGGGTTGCTTAATAATAGGAAAACCTTTTTGGAGATTATCATCCTTATTCCTATTCATCTGTCTTTGTCAATTTAATTCTTAAACCAGCCGGAAGAACCTAAAAGGGTAGGAGGGACATTTTCCCTCTCCCCAACAGATTAAGCCAGTTCCTGGAACAGAGTTAACACCCTATAAATCACAGCCTTTTTCAGTCTTCTCTAGAAAAACATCTCTCAAGAAAAAACTTTATGCATTCAGTTGGTATGGTATACTAAAACCATCAGGAAGAAATTATTATAGAGGAGTGTTTGAAGCACTCATTTGCCAAGCATTTGTCAGAACCACTTTCTTTAATATGCATATTAATGATATGTCATTTGTTAATCTCCTTCCTGAGTTGATCCAGGAAGTGGCCTTTTTCATAAATATTAGGATAATTCTAGGGCTGTCTGATGGATGATTAAGAACAAAACAAAAATCAATTCTTATTTTCTTATAGGAATAATTAATAACTGCAGATAAAATATTCCCAAAAATATAGATCACAGTGTTATTTATCATAGTATTATGAGTTATTTTCAATAGAAAAGTTGGTCTGAGTAACATGATTTGCCATAATCCCAGAAATGTAACTCTGTGGTCTAAATTTTAATAACAATGTTATATTCTGAAGGTTGCTTAAAACAGCAAAAATTCAAGAATTTTAAAAATGTTCTTTTATTTTCTATAAGTCTTGTGTATTCATTTTAGGATTGGTAAACAAAATTTATTTTTAAAATAAATAAATTTACAAGAATTTATAAGCATCTCTGATGTATTTTGATTTTGTTCAATTAGAATAACTAGGATGTATACACACACACTGACACATATACTCACATACACTGATACATAAACTGAATTCCATTAGATGTTTTGCTAGCCAAAGGAGTTTTATTAAAATATTTGTAATGAAAGAAGTTATTGCAGCATTTGTTATAACTATATAAATTGAAAACAAAAACTACTGCCACTAACTGGAGACCTTTATATTTTTTGACCTGGGTCAAAAATTTGTATTTGCTTTGGATTAATTAATTGTTTTCTACACTTCTCTGTATGTGTGCTTTCCCTCACAAAAAAGAAGCAAGAAAAACCAGGAGGAACTACATAAAATTGTTAACATTGCTCATGTTTGGAGGTAGAGAGACATTTTTAAAAATCTATTTTTAATTTTTTTCTCAAATTCCCTGTTTATTTCATATAGTGAGCATAATTATCTGTAGGTGAAAAGTGAATTAATACATAATCTAGAAGAAGGTAGTTGTGTCTTCATTTTACTTTCCTGAGAGAAACTTTGACCATGGAAAGAGCATTTACTGAAAACGTCATAAGCTGCACTGAGGAAAGCTGT